CGGGCAAGATGAAGTCCAGCCAGGAAGCAGACTCAGAAAAGCAAGGTGCCATTCTGGACAAGGTACATCAGTTGTCGGAGCATGTAACCATCTGCCTCTCAGCGATGATCACGTATCTCAGCGAGTACGGCCTGGAACACGTCTTCGATCTCACAAAGTACTTCCAGCCTTTCAGTGCCAGGTCTTACATGCTGCTGAACGGAAACACACTCTCTAGTTTGGAAATCTACCAGAACCAAACGGACTACACTTCGAAGGGCAGCTTGTTCTGGACCATGAACAGAACAAAGACCCGTTTTGGGCAACGGTTGCTGAGAAAGTGGGTTGGCCGACCCCTCATAGACAAGGAGAGATTAGAAGAGCGCATAGCAGCGGTGGAAGAGCTCAAGGAGGGCGAGAACACAATCCCTGTCGATAAGCTCAAGTTCGTGCTCGGAAAGATCAGGACAGATCTCGAGAAGGTGCTCATCCGCATCTACTACAAGAAGTGTACAAGGCCAGAACTGTTGGCAGCTTTGCAAAGTCTGCAGGAGATCTCGAGCCAATACTTGTCGGCGAAGACACCCGAAAAAAGTGGTTTCTCTTCGTCGTTACTGAGTGAAGCTGTTTCGAATGTTCCGAAGATCTACGATGACTTGAACAGCTTTCTGGAGAGAATCAACGCCAAAGCCGCAAAAGATGACGACAAGTACTCGTTCTTCCGTGAAGAACATGAGGCCGAAGATATCAACGATCTGAAATTGAGCATTGCCTCTGTTGAAGACGACCTCAACACGCACCGAAAAGATGCAGCTGCCAAGCTGGGGAAGAGCAAAGTAGACTTCGTCACTGTAGCTGGCATTGAGTATCTGATCGAGGTCAAGAGGAAGGCACCAGAAGAGAAAAAAGTGCCTGCTTCGTGGCAGCAGATCTCAGCTACCAAGACTACACTGCGTTTCCACACGCCAGAAGTTAAGCGCATACTACAAGAGCGAGATCAGTACAAGGAGTCGCTGGCGGCGGCATGCGACAAAGCTTACATGGGCTTGTTAGAAGAGATCTCTTCCAAGTATCAACAACTGCGAGACTGTGTAGCTTCTCTAGCCACACTCGACGCCCTCCTCTCCCTGGCTATCTTGGCAAACCAGCCAGGTTACGTCAAGCCGACCTTCACAGACGACATCGAGCTCAACATCACTGGTGGTCGGCATCCCATGGTCGAGCAGCTGCTCCTCGAAAACTACGTTCCCAACGACCTCACCCTTTCGCACGATTCTACCCGTGCTCTACTGATTACAGGCCCCAACATGGGCGGAAAATCCTCTTATGTGCGATCTGCAGCTCTCATCGCCATCATGGGCCAAATCGGCTCCTACGTGCCCGCAACGGAAGCGCGACTCGGCATGCTAGACGCGGTCTTCACCCGCATGGGCGCATTCGACAACATGCTCAAAGGCGAATCAACCTTCATGGTCGAGCTCAACGAAACCTCCGACATCCTCAAATCCGCAACGCCGCGCTCCCTCATTATCCTCGATGAGCTCGGTCGCGGCACGTCAACCTTTGACGGTGTCGCCATCGCAGAAGCAGTGCTCGACTATGTTATCCGCGACTTACAGTCACTCACGCTGTTCATCACACATTACCAGCATCTGGCCAAACTGTCAGGCCGCTTCCCCAACGGTGAGCTGAAGAACGTCCACATGCGCTTTGAAGAGCAGAATGGCGGGAAAGAAGTGGTATTCTTGTACGAAGCTACGGAGGGTATTAGCCACCGGTCTTACGGGCTGAACGTCGCGCGGTTGGCGAGGGTACCGGAGAAGGTCATTGATGTGGCAGAGATAAAGAGCGCGGAGCTTGAGGAGAGCATGGGGGCTTGTAAACTGGGGAACTTGTAAGTCGTACCCAAGGCGGAAGATGCTGAGAATGAGTGCTAACATTAAGCAGGTCGCGCATGATGAAGGGTTTGTTGAGTGAGGGATCAGAAGCAAGCCTTGACCGACTTGTTGAGGGTATCGAGCAGCTGTAAGATATTGATGTGTTGTATTGTATGGAGATGCGACGGGTCACCGTTCATGGGAAAAGGTGGAAGCATCAGGCGTTTGATGATGGTGCATACGGGCAGTATATTTGCGTGTATCAACAACGCGTCGTCAATTGGGGTCTTGCCGAAATGGTTAAATCGCGCAAACGAATCACATCACCGTCGACAAGATCATGTCACTGTCTTGCTTGTGGTGTATTGTCATTGTTTCATTTCATGACTATCATAACCATATCCTTGTGATCGTAGTCAATGGCCAGCGGATCTCCTGTCCTCCCGGCTCATGGTATACCCACCATCACGCCTTGTCCTAGCTCAACAGCTTAACCGAGACGGGTCTCTTTGTCCTTGATGGGGACATCGGAGCCAGTGGTAGACTTGTACTGGCCGCGGATGAAGTCGCTGATCTGTTCGTCCTTGGCTTGCTCGACGGCGGACTCGTTGTCTTGAGCACCCTGGCCCATGAACTTCTCTTGGACGAAGTCGACACCTAGTGTGAACAGTGAGTACGTGTCAAACAGTTATAGCACGGCATGGTAGACGTGGGTAGGGGTGGAGGACGACATACCCTTGTCGAGGTAGTCCTCGTTCTTCTCGCTCTCCTTGCCGCCGCCAGCAGCGGAGTTGAGCTTGTCACCGATGCCACCGAGGAAGCCACCGGAGCCGGAGGACTTCTGCTCAGAGCCCTGGCCTTGGACGACCTGCTCGTTGACGGACTGGCCTTGGTTGTTACCGCCGCCAGCGAGCTTGTTGACGAAATCCATGATGTTTGTTTGTTGTAATTGAAGGTAAGTCAGGTAAGTAAAGAGTCAAAGCAGTAAAGGCAAAAGTAGTCGTGTGAGGTTGTGATGAGTGATAAGCCGAGTGCAGTTGAGGAGAGAGAGAGAGCTATTTAAGCAGCTGATTGCAAGGCAGGGATGGTTGATCTTGGAAACGGGAGCACCGATGGGTCAATGGGGTCAATCAAGATCTAGTCCCTGGTGACAGGAGCCTTGGTATTGGAGCTAGGTGGGTTTGATAGGTGCGCGTCGCAGCGTGCAAGGAGGCTACGGGCGACGTACCTGATGCGATGCTGGTTCTTGGTCGGCACTGCCCCGCCCAAATGCGCGCCGACGTCATCAGACACCCCGCCATCGCGGAACCTGAAACTAGTCCCTTTGCGAGGCCAAGCTCCGCTATCGCGTCTTGCACGTGCGAGCGACCTTGCGGGCAACCTTGCGACTGTGACCTTGGAAATTTGAATTGCTTCTTTGAGGGGGTTTGTTCGGATCGACGCGTCTGTGCTGTTGTCGTCATTGTCATGATACCTATCACGATTATCACGGGCTTCTTGGGCTCGGGAAAAACAAGTACGTAGTAATTTTCAGCTGCTTTCTTCAGCACCTAGTAGCACGGTACCAGCACATTGCGCGTGTTCAAGGTGTCAGGAACGTGTGAATCACATTCAACAAAGTTTGAATCCTACTAACAGCCTCGCAGCGCTCATCCTGAACCTAATTCCCCAACTACCCAAAACCTACAAACTCGCGCTCTTGAAGAACGAATATGGCGACATCAAAGTCGACACAGCGCTGGCCTCCTCAGCCGCTATATCAGGCGTGCAAGAGCTGCTCAATGGATGCATATGCTGCAACCTCGTCGGGCAGCTCTCCGACGCCCTCGAAACGCTCGCCAACGACGTGAACCCCGACCGCATCGTGATCGAGACCTCCGGCTCTGCCTTCCCCGCAACCCTCGCCATGGAAGTAAACCGACTGAGCAGAGAAACGGGCAAATACGTTCTAGACGGTGTCATGAGTGTGATTGACGTGGAGAATTGGAAGGGCTACGAAGACACAAGCTACACGGCGAAAATGCAGGCACGCTACACGGATCTCATTGTTCTCAACAAGCACGAGCTTGTTAGCGAGAGGAGATTAGAAGATGTTGAGGACGCAGTGCTGGCGCTGGAGGTGGAACCGCAAATACCCAGGACGAAGAGCAGGAAAGGGTGGGTGGATAAGGATATTGTGTTTGGACTGGATGCGAGGCTGGCAGGTGTTACAGAGGAGAACGGAAGCGCGCACGCACATGAACACGACCATGATCATTCCAGCGAAGTCGAGGTCCTGACAGTCACACTGAAAAGCCAGGATGGAAACAGCAGTGTCGACACCGCGAAACTCGCCAAGCTCCTCGAAGACCCAACAAAAGACGAGGTATACCGGATAAAAGGCATCTTGTATTCTTCCACACCACCGAAATCATCGGACGCTGATGCGGATGCGCATCAAAAGGTGCCGGAGGGTCGAGCAAGATATATTCTGAACTGGTCGTTCGGTCGCTGGACGTTTACTCCAGTTCCGCTACCAGCTGGCGAGAGCTCTGGTGAGGGAGAGTCGGTTTTGAGGCTGACGGTTATTACGGCGCGATATGAGTCGACCAAGTGGAAGAAGAAGATTGAGTCGTGTGGGTTGATTGCGTTAGAGGGTGGTGTAGAGGGTTCGTTGATGGTTGAGAAGATAGGGTAGATGAGGAGTGTTGCCGTTTGTGATATACCCGATTCAACGATTAGACTTGTAGAGTAGACTAAAACAACCAAGATGTCTTTTTTGCATTCTCAGCATTCCAATGTCCACGGGTTGTTCCTAATGGACGCATGCGCAATTGGTGACTAGCGTGGTGGGGCGCTGATGGCAAACATCCTCAGCTCCTGCCTCCTGTCACTTCTTTACCAGAGACATGACACTCACAGCACGCATGACGACGCTTTAAACGACACATAACTGCTAAGTGTGCTTTTTACCTTTCACTTGGGCTACTTTATCGCCTTTGTCCGCTTCAATAAGCTGCCTTCTCCTTCTACCTGACTGTTGAACCTCAGACGTGGGCTTCTTCTGCACTTTGAGTGACGGCTCTGAACGTCTTCACCCCTTTGTAATCAGCATCATGCTTGATAGTCGGCTAGTCGGCTACTTTCTAGCGCCAAGTCTCCTTCTCAAGAAGACTTTCCTGCCTGCTCTAGCGCTAGCGTCGCTGCTGCCATATCCTTAACAAAGCTTTCCTGGTGTTGAACAAGGCCGACAAACTCGTCACGCTGATCCTTTTCCCAGGACTTGCTCCCGTGCACGAAGGTAGCCGCCACAATTAGTTGTTTAAGCGAGCCCTTTTTGTCCTCACAGATCTTGCCAGCACCATATATCCACTCTACAAAGTCCTTCATGGCCGTTGGCGGAAAGTCACCTTTGGACAGGAGCTGTTCTACCAACCTGACGTGCGCGGCGTCGATCCAGGCCGGGTATTCCAGGAACTCCGCGAACCTTACCATCTCCAGGTCGAATCGCACCGACTTCATATCGCGGGTGAGGTCGATATAGGGTGAACCAGGCCTGTTCTCTGCGTGCGCGATATCCGACACTTCCGTCTCGATATGGCGCTGATATTCGTGGAGATAGAGGAAGTTGACGAAACGGTCCACGACGATTGGAGAAAATCCGGGGAAAGGTATCTCGCACGGATGCTCTGGGGTCTAAGCCATCAGTGTAAGCAGACTGAATTACGACGAGATTGGGCTTTAGGCACACGTACGCCCTGGAAAAGACATTTCAACATCCAGTCTGCATTTGGACCACCGAGCGCCCAGGCCGAATGTATCGGAAATATGAGTCCGTGTGAATTGAGGAGGATATCGCAACCAAGCTTGGACTGCAGGACCTTGTTCGCATGTCTGTCGAGTCAGTGGAAGTACTCAGAGGGGCGGAATTGACGTACTCGGCGCGCTTAGATTCTTCTGTCGGTACCTCCAGATGGTCGTTCTTGGTGGCAATCCGCAGGAGGTTCTCGAGGGACATCCATTCCGGAGCTGGAGACTTTGGGGTCGCGCCACATGACATCGTGCTTGGTTAGAGACGTTTCGATACCAAAAAGAGCTTCATGGGAGTAAGAAGGTGAAGGAAAACAAGTGAGCAAACAATTGCGGTCGGGAAACGACCAATGTGGCGCTAAGCAATTACCTAACAGAGAGTTCGAGCAATGTCCTTTCACTGAGTTCTATGCTAACGAGAAAGCGTGTAAAAAGGAGAGGCTTGCCCGAAATCGAGAAATCGAACTTACGGCAGCCAAAAAAAAAGAACAAGAAAACCCACGATCGCAGAGTAGCAAACTCAACACAGCCATCCTTGCCATGCAACATTGTCCGAGCCAAGCCGTTACTGATAGGATACTCTGGAATACATGGTAATATATATTTGGGTTGAAATCGTGTCAATAGTCTTAACTAATCGTCCTTAGGATCTCATTAAGAGATAAAACACTCATTCGTATTTCGCAAGTTGCCAATACGCGACACCCTAACTTCTCCAGTCTACGCACTCTAGGATTACAGTTGCAAAGCCCCTATCTATAACGATACTGCCGTCAACAACGCCCTTACTGCTCTTGGTACCTACGCCGTCCTTCATAACAAGACGTGGTTCAAGACACATTGCATCACGTACAGTGAACTTCTTCCCAAGGCGCCGTACCTCTCCAAATACCGCGACTTGGCTTTGGCTGACCTCCCGGAATTTATCCAAGCTCATCACCTCGCTGGTAAGAAAGCCAGGCTTACTGATTCTGGACGCGGATTTGAAGACGTCAAGATGCGCTCGTCGATGCTTATGGACACAGAGGAGTAGGTCTGCCGACTACGGTCCTGGTTCTCAAGAGCGTTGGTACCAGCTTGTGGATGTTTGCCGCATACGAGGTATCTGGCATGATGGCATTGAAGGGTACGAAAGACGATGTATTTCCATACCCTATTGACAAGTCGACCTTTGATAGTCTGTTTCCAGTGGAGAATCTCCTGGCACAAGCATGTAAAGTACATCTGGGTAGTGATAAGTGTATGTAGCTGAGAAGTCCAGGATGGAAAAGGCCATGTGAACCATACCTAATAAGCGATTTGGAAAGTCATCCTATGTCCGGGTCATTCTTCATATCACGTCCGATACCTCATGCGATAGGTAATGTGGGGTGAGACATGTTGCATTATATGTACAGTCATTACATGCCCGATTGTTGGACTTTTCCCAAGCTCCAAGGGTGATGATGAGCCTCCAAACTCCTCTTCCCGTCATTAACTACATAAATATCCATCTCGCAGTAAACCATGATGTCGATTTACAACATACCAAGAGCGAGTCCAAGAGCACCAATACCCATGGCGGCGCCGGCAGTCTTCATAGCAGCAGGGTTGCTAGTCTCGGCAGGGACGGTGTTGGTATCTGTCTCGGTGGTGGTGGCAACAAGGCCGTCGCTACCGGTGGTGACGATGACGGCTACGGAAGTGGTCTGGATGACGGAGGTGACAGAAACGGTGTTGGTGTCAGTGACAGTGTTGGTGTCGACGGCCGTTGTTTGGACTGCGCCAGCGCCTCCTCCAACTACGGTGGTGGTCTGGTATGCGCAGTCGGTGAGGAGACGGTACTGGTCGCTGCCATCGTCGTTGTCGTTGCCGTTGTACTGCCTGACGCAGGACTCGCACTGTGGGATCAATGTGTTTGCGTTGTTGGCTGTGCAGATGCACTGGAGGACGGCGGATGAGTCATCATCTATCGCTTTGTTAGATTGTTGTTGTTCGTTATTAGGTGCGGTACTTACTGCTGTCGTTCTTGCAACCGTTGGTGATGGAACCGACTTGTGCGCAGACATCAGTGCACTCCGCGGGGATGTTGTCGAAGTCGAAGTCAGTGTCCTGAGCAGCAGCGAAGGCCGCAAGAGCGGAGATGATGGTGAGCTTTGAGAAGAGCATATTGATTGATTGATTGATCGAAGTTCGACTTTCTGAGAGTGAGTGTAGTGGTTTTGAATCAAGTGGAGATGATGAGAAGGCTGATTGTTGTGATGATGGGCTTTCAACATGTCGAGCATGGCGACTCTTATACGAAATGTGCTCCTCCTTCCATCGCCCATCGGACGGTCTCCGACCTGGCTTCTGCAGAGGAATCAGATACCATGGTATTACCAAAGCCGTCGTACCCGAGTTCGCTCATGCACTTGATGAGATGGCATGCACCGTCGACCTCTGGCATTGGCTTTGCTGTTTGCTAGACGTTATGGTAGCGCCCGATGGAAAGGGCCGAATGCGAAGTGACATCACACTTATCATTTGCATGTCGTTCTGGTCGAACCTGGAGGCCAGGCACAGTGTGTCTGGATGCCGCCAAGCGATTGAAGCATATGAAGGTTTCGCGGAGCCACGCGATGGACATGGAGACAGCGCAGGCCGACGTCATTGGTGCTTGGCACAGCGAATGTGGATCCACCCGAGCAACCGAGCGATCACGGCCGATCATCCGGAAAGCTTGTCGGTTGCTCCAGAACGCGCCGACTTTGCGGAGGAAAAACTGGAGAACGTAGGCTTAGGCCGCATGAAACGTTGTTAGTCCGGCTGTACGGCAAACATCGTCAGTCGGCGGCGAACTTCTTTCTGGTAGCTGTTACCCCTGTATGACGCAAACATGCAAATACTTATGCTTTTGAAGTCAGTATGTCATGGCTTGTACCAAGCTTCAAATCACGTAGTGTGTCTGAACCTCGCTGTCAAATGGCTTGTTCAGGAACGCAGAGCCTCCCAACATTGAATCTGGTGTCTCATTGACGTCGGAGCATCAATGCGTAGCTTAGCATTAGAATTAGAATTTGTTGATAGTGCTTCAACGGAAAGACCGGAGTGGCCATCGAATTGTTTGGCTGTCAATGCATGGAGCTTCCTGAAGTAGGATCTGTCTGGTATCATCTTGGTAAAGCTACGCAGGCCAAGAATGGCTGAACCCACTCGTGATAGGCTGTCGACTAGCATCTTGCCGAGAAAGCGTCTTGTACAACAAGCGTGATACATGGTCCACTGGTTGAAGCTTGAGAGCAACGGATCGTGTCGGCTCAAACGAAAGACTGAGCAGTCTATCAGTGAGTATGATACCTACGTTTTGTTCATGAATTTCATCAACAACAGATAGTGTAGCATCGGCAACTTTGCCTATACTATACTGCTGTTGACTGCCATAACTGGCTAACATTACGTTGTTTCCTCGGAGGCGAAGTTCGCACTGCGCATAGCTTTACAGCGTCCTCTTGGCAACCCGCGCTACCACAGTTTCTAGGCCGTCAGTAGCTGCATACGCTAGGGGCGTGGCAGGAACATACCGTTATTCTAACTGGCATGACCGGCGACATGGCAAACCAGTAGAGCGGCTCTATACTAGTCACTGCGGGTAGAGCATAGCGTGAGGTTGGACAATGCCGTCAGAGCCGCGTGTAGGTTCGCGGTTGCCGTTGCCGCCTCCAGCAGCGTAAAGATGGAAAGTCGAGGCTCTGAGCTCGTTGCTGTGCTGATCTCAGCAGCCTTCGCCACGTATGAAATAGTCGCTAGCTGCTAAACGACGAACAGTGGGCGCTGTCTAGGAGCTTACATTCGTCCATTTGGAATGTGTTCCAGTAACCCAGAAGAGTGCGCATGCGATACGATGTCGAGGTAACTTGGATTGACAGCAAGCCGCTTCCCAAAGTACCGGTCGGGAACGTAGGCTAAGTATTTTCGTATAAATGAAGAGGAAAGGATGTGTCGGCGACAACGTCCACTGAACATAATTGCGGAAGCTGACCAAAGCCGGGCACATGGATGCCATCGATACAGTTTCTGTGGAGGCGTTAATGTGTTCTTGTGGACTCGCGCTCGAATTTGAAGTCTTTTCGCGAAGGACTTTGGGTGTGTACGTTGGTGGGTTGGTAAGTCGATAACGGTGGTTTGCCAGGGTTCGTCGAGGCGTCAATGTGTGTCCATTCACCACGGAAGATACTATACCCTTTGCATAATTACTTGTAATTCCATCTCTACCTGTGCGCATTAGCGTATTTCCGATCAAATAGCTGTAAATATGCGTTGCTTACGTGTATTATGTGCGACTGCTGGGTGTTCGCTGCATATTTCCTCCAGAAAGGAGGGGTTCACCTGCGCATCGATATGAATTGGATCCTTGGACATTTTGTAGCACAATACAGCGCGGGTAAGGCGCTCATGCCTCGTGACGACAGTCGTTCACTTCGCGGGAAGTTGCTGAGACGTGGCTATCGTGGTAGGTGGTTGTGGATGTTGCTTGAAGTTCAAATGAGTGCAACAGCGTCCAGGTGGTCTGATCTCGAACGGGAATAGCAGATCAGCACTGTCATTATCCCCGGACGCTCCTTCTTGCTTAGTCTGTAGGGGTAACGACATCTGCTCACTCATCACAGGCCCAGGCATGTCTCTCAACTGATAATCTTTCATTCACATTGGCAGTGAAATTATGAAAGAATGTGTTGTATCTACCACCCTTCCTTCACGTACCAGTACTCCCACACAAGCCCAAATGCTCCAACCCAATCGTCACACATTTGTACCATACCCGGGTATCATTGCCACTCAAAGACTGCACACACTACTACTAGGACACGTTCCAGACAGACACGGTGAGAGAAATGCCCGTCTTTTTTCTCACTCATACCAACATGATTCTCAAAAGGACAGATGTGATGTAAACCTTACAACAGCATGTACCCTCTACCTAGCCTGCACGGCCGGAAAGTAGCGGGGTCCGGAGTACCCGTAGAACTGGACGCTCTCAATGTCGATGTTGCCATCGTGTTTCGGGCTCCAGAACTTGAGTAGGACGTGTCTTCCCGAACTGGAGAATGCGTTAGTAAACCGATGGCTCCATAGGGTGACCAGACCAAACTTACATTGCAGGGTGAAATTTGATCGTGATCTTATTCTTGTTCTTCGCAATGAAGAAGCGCGCATGTGGGGGTATGAGTGGCCCGTCATGGGTTCGTTCGGAAGGTTCAATGCGGCTGGGCGCAGCTACACGAGACGCTC